TACAGAAAAAAGAGCTGCCTCGGCAAAACATTGTTTGGTACAAGGCTCAAGTTAACAGGCCGTGAAGTGGTAAATTCTGCCTCTGCATTATGGGTGCCGGAAAAAGGGAGCGAAGAGGGAACTATAGGGCCCTTAAAAGGCAATAATACGTATACAGGGCTACCGCCGTAAAATACGCGAGGTTCTTTTTTTTTTATGGAAGTTGGATTCCGTGTCATTCTTATTCAAGGGGTGAGTTGTTTAACGGCTAGTTTTCTAGTGGGGTGTTCTGGTTTGGGGCGAGGATGGTGTCTGTATGACCTTTCGAGCGTTCTCGGGCATTGGGGGAAAGGCGTAGATCACAAAAGCTCAGTTTGTATCGAAACAAAACATTCACTCGTATGTTAGAAGGCAATCCGTTGGGCAACGAGCTACAAAAAAAAAAAAAAAAAGAAATGAAAATAATACACTTCGCAAGCGGGGCACGTACGTTTTCCTCTTCATTTTTGAGCGCCACCGACTGGCAATACGAAAACATGTTCGTATTTTGGTTTGGTTTGTTTTGTTTTGGTATTTTTGTTTAAATTACACATTTAGGGTAAGGTGAGGTAAAATGCGACAGTTCTTGTTTAGCGCCAACCATTTCCTAAACAAGCATTTGGAGTACGTTTAAGCTTCACTGAGAGGTGACGCGGGCTGTACACTTTGCGTGTGCAAAACGTTAACGCTCTGAACAAGAATACTCAGGAGCAAAAAAAATTTCGGAGTTCGGGTTGACGAGTCTACCCCTCAGCCAGAAACGTGCAAAATGTAGCGCGAGGTTTCGCTTCAAGACGTGCACCCCGTTTGGCACGGACTATTTTATCAAAGTAAGTTTAAATTTTATTCGCATGCTTCATTAGCTCCATCCGTACCAAAGGTGAGCGAGGTTTTTTTGTTTTTTTTTAACGAAATGATTATTTACGTAACGGGACACCCGTGGGCAAAACGCGACAATCGGGCATTCGATGACGCGCATCTCAATAACGCACGAGTCTCCTGCTTGCTCGTGAGTCACATTCTCTTTATTCCTATGTCTAGGATGATCGAAACCTATATATTAAAAACAACAAAGGCTTCATAGAGCAAAAGTGACACGAACAAAGCTCTTGAAAGTGTCAAGCAACATCGTCACTTTCTTCGCACTGCTGCCGAACTTTGAGGCGTACCAAAGGATGCGCTTCAAAGGCGAGTCAAACGACTCAGGAAACGTAAAAAACAGCGGCTCTGCAAAACACCAAAACAGAACGGCTAGGCTACAGACGGCGCGTTTTTTCCGACGTTTCAAGTTTCAAGAAGTTTTCTTCTGTACCTAAAGTAGGATAGAAAAAGAGAACAAGCAGGCCGGAGAGCCGCACTGTTCTAACGTCACCCCCCCCCCCCCTCCCCCCCCCCCCCCTTGGTCGCGAAAGCAACCAAGGAGGGGCGTTTCACTGCCCCCCCCCCCATACACACACACAGACACACAAAATGACGTAAATTCGATATGAGGAAGGTTATTAGTTTTCCACCGAAGAAACGCGCAGTGTCCAAGCGTCCTGGATATCGTGCGATGCACACCATAAGATGTTCGCAATACCTGGTATGCAGGGCTTTGGAGCTAAACAGCCCCGCATTTAGTATGGATCGAGGGCATGGAATGCGTAGAGTGGCCTCATGAAGAGTGCATTGGAGCTCTCGTAGTGCGTTTCAAGTGTTTTATTATAAAAACTGTTTTTATAAAGTATCTCTAATTCTACACCACTACGTTGTCTCATTTTGCCCCGCCCATTCGGCAAAAAGAGACATGTGGTACTTTTAGATGTTTGTTTTGTTTAATGTTGCGCTTGCTTCAGTTAAGTTACATTTACTGAGCATAGAGTCGACACATCTAAGAATATTTCCCTGCTGTGCTTTTTCAATATTAAAGCAAACATAAAAATTACCATTCAAATGAATATATATTTCTTGTTTTGCCCCACCCTACCCTACATTACATGATCACCTGCAAAGTAATTATGCCATTACATTATTGTAATTACATTACATAATTACATGCAATGCCTGCATTACATGTACACATTACATATTCAGAATTAGACAACGTTATAAGCATTCTGATAAAGCGCATCTTACACACGTGTCCACCGCACTTTATAGCCACTAAATATAGGTTCGCTTGGAATATAGGCACTCCAGTTCCCGATATTTTTGCCGGCGCCGCCAATTTTAGTGCGTCCAATCGGCTTACTCGCGTAAACAGAAACTTTCCGGCGTTACATACTCGCCCGCGGCCCTATTTTGAACTCTGCTACAATGGAACTACCAGCGTAACTCTATCAATTCTCTACTTATCTGACCTATGTATTTTTGGTGCACCAAAAATACATAGGTCAGATAAGTAGAGAATTGTGTGCATTGTGCATTATCCATGGATAATGCACACTGTCGCAAAAGACGATGCGAAAGGCACGACACCTACACGTTGACATACTCAAGCAGACGGTGCGTGTCATCAGTCATACAGCTGAGTATTGACGTCTTGTCTCTGATCCCGCAATAAGAGGTTACACCTAGCGACGCGGCCAAGGTGAACGTCCTAGTTCTGCGACAAGAAGAAGTAACCGAGGCGACAGAAGAAATCGACCTATCGAGTGTCGACATACATGCGGGGAGACTCTTCAGAGTGTCGCAACGCCAATGTCGCCACCAACGCGTTCGATGCAACAACGACTTACCTGGAAGCAGAGCTCACTTGGACATTCATCGATTTCGATCTCGACGATGAAGGACAAAAAAATGTCTGGTCCTTTGCCGTGTCCTGGAAATAAACTACGGGGACAGCCGAGACGCAGCACACTGCCTAACGCAGTTATGCTGCCGCATTTACATTTAGCAGACTTACCTAACCTAACCTAACCTAACCTTACCTAACCTAATCATAGCCTAACCAAATTTAACCTAACCTGCCTTACACAAATCTAGTCTTAACTTAACCTAACCTCCTTAGACTAACCTAACCTAACCAAACCAAGCCTAACCTAATCTTAACACAATCTAACCTCACCTAGCCTAAATCTAACCTAATCTAATCTACCTTACACTAACCTAATCTTAACCAAACCTAAACCTAATCAACTGAACCTAACCTACCATAATCTTCCGTGCACTGACCTAACCTGAAGCTAACATAAACCTATAGAACCTATCTAACCTAACCTAACCTCCTCACACTAACCTAATCTTAACCTGACCTGAACCTAACCACTAAATTTACAGGACGGTGTTGATAGGACACTTTGATGTCAAGGGACGCCAAAAAATCACGTGAAGCGGCGGCGTCACGTGGCACCTCGAAGTCACGTGATACTAAATTCCTGTTCAAATTAGTTGAGAAATTACTCAACTGAATTTAGCGGGATGATTGTGGCGTCGTGTGAGATGACGTCACGTCGCACTGTGATCATCCGCTAAATTTAGCGGTTCGCTCGTGTATTTCGCGTATTCCTGGCCCGATAAACGTTAAGGGAAAATTTTATCCGCTAAGTTTAGTGGGAAAATTTCGACGTCGTGTGAGATTATGTCACGTGATACAGTGACGTCAAAAAGTCACGACACTGCGATTCTCCCGCCAAATTTAGCGGATCCCGTGTGTGTTTCGTGTACGTGCTACCCCGCTAAAAATACAGGAAAAACTTATCGGCTGAATGTAGCGGGAAAACTGCGACGTCATGCGGCACAACCTCATGGGACACCGTAACGTCAAAATGTTGCGACACTGTAATTCCACCGTCAAATCAGGCGGACAAATAGGGAGTTTTAGCGAGTCGTTTTTCAAGCACACGGTTCCGAAATCACGAACGGTACAGCTGGTCCGTTCCGTGAAACCTTACCTCAAATTTGACATACTTTAGCGAATCGTGAAAGTGGCACGACCGTGTAAACGATGATGATGATTGGACTTAATGGTGGCACCATCTTCTAGTAAACATGTGAAACATTCTGCAACGTGTAAATCCGTGGCGACGGTGGCGGACACCGTGGTGGCGGCTCGTGTTTCCGGCGTACGACTGATGTAAACAAGACGGTCGATGTAACATTTGCCGGTCGGAATTTCAAGAACTGCGAAGCTAGATCGAGTAAAAAGTGTCTAAACGACCGTAAAGGTATGCGGTGTGTCTCTGTCATCTTGAACTTGAACGATCGTTCACGTTGTGTGCAGGGCCGGCCTTAGAGCAGCAAGCGCCCTGAGCAAACTGCGGCCGTGGCGCCCCCCCCCCCCCCCCCCCCGCCTTCCCCCTATTGTTGCACCCAACAGCACGTTGGAAGTAAACATGCCAGAGTGACCCAGCGCGAAGGGTCGCGATTTTTCCGTTGTCAATCGAGAAACATATCCTAAAAACAAACGACGTTCGCGAGTATTGAGACTTTTGTCGGCTCCGTGATCAAATAGTTCAACATACATTTATTTCTCAGATTAAACAAATTTCAGCTGTGGATCTCCCATAGCAAGCTAACATCTGATAAAAAGAGAAAACAAAAGCACAAGTTAACCATGTCAAATACCCTAGAAAGCAACCTTCCGAGCCTTCAACATCGCATATTGGTCTACGACTTGCGACATATCCAGGCTAGACTCTATCCTGTTTTCAATGGACAAAATTGCCAGTGACGATAACCAGTCTTCTTCCATGGTTTATATTAAGTATGTCTTAATAAGCTTTAATTTTGAGAAACTCCTCTCAGCGGTGGCCACTGAATTAAAATTATCTGTTGGGCTAGTTGGTTAGACATGTTAAATTTGTAATTAAGGTAGCCACTGACACTGGCAATGGGAGGAGGATCCTCAATGACACCCACGTATAAGGTAAGTTGTCACGCAGATCGTTGTGCAGAATGAACTAGAGGATATCCTGGGGATCACTGCATCCAGTGGGCAGCAGGCTGCATGGGTAGATCAGCTCTTCGCAGTGATCTGTACCGTCGATGTCTGCACTTTCTAGTTGTCTCAGTGCATGGTCAAGGCCCTGGCACAGTTTAAGAAGTCCTGTTTTGTCGGGAAGTCGGGTGAGGTCCTAAAGCGACCTCCAGAGGCTCACGTGCTGCTCCATCTGCGTGAAGCGTTCTTCAATCGATATATTTATGGTGCCAATCATCTCGTAGAAGAACTCTCGCTTAAATTTTGTCTTGACATCATCAACCTCGTATTGGCACTCATAACTGAATTGGCGCTTTTTACGCCTTAGTCGAGGGGCCGGTTTCATCACTTTCTCAACACCCATGCTTTCGGCAAGACCGTTCGTAGTTGCCAGTGCAGTTTCGTACCCGACTTCGTGATTATTGTCGATGTAATCACTGCATGCTTTCAGGAGCTGGGTGGTTGCTGTGTAAGGTCCGTGAGCTGCCCTGCAAGAGTTCGGACTTCATGTCGGACGCCAGGGTCTGCCAGCGGTGATTCGGCCACTCCTGTGCAACATTATAAATTTCGCGATTTTTAGCGGTTTTCGGGGTTCTTGCGGCGTGTTTCTGAATTTTGAGTTGGCAACTCTAATCGGCATTGCGAGATCGGAGTCGTCACTGGTCGCTCACACACAAAAAAGAAAGAGCTGCGCATCCAAAGTTCTTTGCGCATGTTATTTTCAGTCGGATTGAAGCCTCTGGGCACAGAGACTCGCCGGATGCCGAGGAGGCATTGGTTCGTTTAGTCTACTTCTAGAGACTCCAGAGCGAGCGTTGCCCAAAGCGCAGCTCGAATGCCGGGAGAAATCGGGTTCAATTTAGCCCGGTCAGACCTCCTCAGTGAAGGCATGCTTCAGCTAAGAATAGCTTGGCAAAGGGGCGAAGCTTACATTTTCTGCGGGTCAATCAGAGCCTCTGAGCGAAGCACGTGATAACTAAGAGCAAAAATCCGTTCCAATAGTATTTAGTCACGTGACACGTGAGGTAATTGGCCCTCAAAAATAAGGGACAACTACGGCCCTAATGTTTCTTTTAATATTTTATATTGGATTCAACCTGTTATACCGTCAGGTGGTGAAGGTAGAGAGAAACAGTTGATTTTCTTTTTTTAGCTCTCACTTTGAATTTGAGCAATTGAGAATTATGTCACGCGACTCGCTCCGACACACTTATTTGCTCGCCGATGAGCTTGGAGCCACCGTTTGGTAAGTATCGCTAAGAGTGCGACATGCTGACTCCATCGCTTTTTGCGAGTCAAGTTTTGCTCCGCTCTTAATTTCAGAGCTGTGCGTAGGTGATCGCTTGCGTAGTCCTTCATGATTCATTCCATGACGCTTTGAATCTCACGGAGGAGACGCTATAGTAAAACATCCAAGGGGGCTGTGAGTCGATGGACGCCAGTTATAACAATAGCCCATACTTGGTTTCAGCTTCAGTTTAGGTCCGAGCGTGGTCGTTGTTATGAGCCGAAGGTCCAATCAAAGAGCGCAAAAAGTGCAACGTCATGGCGTTGTCCGCTCTTGATAGGACGAGCCGGTGGAGGAGCACGATCTGAAAGACCGCGAACACCGCATGTACTATCAACTGCGGAGACCACACCATGACGGTGTGCCCCTTTCGCCGTTAGATTGACCCTTCGGCTCGTAACATGGGCCGCGTTCGGACCTAAGGCGAAACAAAGTATAGTCACTGGTTTTGCGACCGAAATGCCCAAGAGCGAGCGCCATCAGCTTTTTGTACATGTGGTGGTGGGAGGGGGGCGGGGGGGGGGGGGGGGGGGGCCCTCAGCAATCCGATTTTTTTTTTTGTTTGTTTTTGTTTTTATCTTCTCGAGATATGAGTCCTGCATGGCCTGGCGGCCCTTTCGGCGCCCCCCTATGAATGGCGCCCTGTGCGGCTGCACAAGTCGCCCACCCCAAAAGCCGGCACTGGTTGTGTGCCGTCGAACCAAATCATTTCGTCTGCTCGCGGTCGCCACGGCAGCTAGTCTGCCCGCAGATCGCAAAAATTTACTAGCATGCACAGTTTACAGCATTCACGATCGCTTACCATTGTGAGCAGTCCTCCAAATGATTTGGTTCAACCTCTCAAATGAAGCAGACTAACAGGACGGCAAATCGCCTCCCGCTGTCCTAAGCCTAACGCTCAGCTCGGTCGGCGAAGCGGCCGCCATCTTTCTTTTTTTACCCGAGTCGTGAACGGCGCAGGCTGCGTTGCGGTGACGACTCCAGCGGCTGGAATGGGAGAAACGAACGAGAAGAGCCTCCCGACTCCCCGAACGACTCGCGCGCGCATGCGCAGTGGCGTCGCGGATACGTTCGAGGGCGAACCGTTCGTGTGGAAACGACCTGCTAAAACTCCCTAATGTTTCCGTTAAATTTAGCTGACCGCGAAGTACGCACGCAAAACAGACACGGGGCGAATTCCTCGTCAATAAAGGCCCGTTCATGCACTTGCAACACCTTAAAAACCTTCGCCTTAAAACCACTTTATAAAATATCTTTCGACGGGTGAGCAGTCTGGAACGCTGGCGCCATCTATGCGGCGACCCTGGAAGTGCATTTCACTAGAGCGAAGGTCTTGCGATGTTCTCGAGATGAAATGTACGTACTACCTGTCAAAAAGGGTAGTTTATAACATTGACAGACGTTTTTGTTTTGTTTTTTAATTAAAAAAAAGGATGACTGCTGCGCGAAAAGATTAGGAAATATAGGGGACCGCCAAGTGTTCCAAGGCTACCCGATAGGTGGCGTTAAGCGCCGTTCACACTCTTGCGACCGAGTAAGACCGAGAGAGACCAGACCGGATTTTAAGCCTTTTGCGACTTCTTGGGACCGGATGCGCTACAGCGGAGCTGATCCTAAGGGATCGCAATAGGCTTAAAAACCGGTCTGGTCTTTCTCGGTTTTACTCAGTCGCAAGTGTGTGAACGGGCCTTTAGTCTATTCCTTTGTCGTAAGAGGTTTTAAGAGGTCTTGAGGCACACGGTCCTAAAGGCCCGTTCACACACTGGCAACCGGCTACGACCGACTGAGACAAGACAGGATTTTAAGCCTCTTGCCAAGAGTTACGACCGGATGTGCTGCTGCGGAGCCGGCCGTGAACCGTCACAAGATCCTTAAGAACCGTTCTTGTCTCATTCGGTTGTAGTCAAACTCAAGTGTGCGAACGGGCCATAACGACTACAGTCGGTGAAAGGTTAAGTTTAAAGTGGAAGCTCCGTCCCACCTTTTTCCACTTTAGCAGAGCGAACGCCAGAGAGGAGGTCCTTCCTCTCCAGCCTGCGCTCTCCTAAAGTGGAGAAAAGTGGGAGGAACTTCCACCTTCTGCCCCCTGCTACCGCAGTAGCAAAAAAGAAAAAGAAGAAAAAAAGACACGCTTCCGATTTGGTTGACGTTGGACACGAACCACTCCTAGACAATCGAACTATCGACGTTCAGAATCAGGTCAGTGCACCGGGGAAAGCCAAAACCAAAATATTTTGCAGACTAACAAAAAATAAAAAAAAAATAAAAAAAATAAGACGTGGCTATTTATAGCCGGACAAGTCAGAACAAATCGACCGTGCTCATTTTTGGCAACGACCTATCAGAACCCGCTTGCGGGTTGTGGGTACATATCGCGTGTGGGTACTCTTTGTGTACTGCTACCGTCTACGTTCAGTGAAATCTTTAGCTTTTGCACTGATGGAAGCGATCATGTGCCAACTTTTCTTTGTGATGTATTTCTTTTTCTTTTGGCTTGGATGGGGCTTTTTGTTGCACGACTGTTCAGTTTGTTTATAATGTAGGTCAGCCCGCGTGATAAATGTGTTAGTCTGATATCTATATTTATCTTTATATGAACCCCCCCCCCCCTTCCCTTTAATGGTCATCATAGGAGATAACACTCGGAATAAATGAAACCAAACGAAATTGATCTTTCATTTTACACGACATTAAAAGACCAATATTTTGTGACCCCAAACGATAATCGATTACTCATACACTATCGATACTATTCAAATTCTTTGCTTCTGAAGGGTCATCACTCTTAGGGTTCAGGTCATTGAGACATTTCATGTGTTTTGAGATTATCGCTACCTGCAAAACGTTCCCGAAAGTCCCCGTAAACATTCCGTAGTGTTCCGCGATTTCTATTTTAATTCCCTCCATGTTTTCTTTCTATTCACGCCGGCCACTTGACGCCATGATACTCCCGAAGCTCCGGATCTACCAAGTGCTCATTAACGAACATATAAATTGATTTTAGTTAAATTTTATTTTCCTCAACGGTATTCAAAAGAGAGCACTTTACACGAGGGGGGGGGGGGGGGGGGGGAATCGCTACATCATAAAGTGTACAACATTAGAGAACAAAAAATGAAAGACGTTTACAACTCCCTGTAATGCCGAATTAGAGTGGAGCACTTGAGGACAAAAAGGGGAGGGTACGGAGGGGAGAGTATGCCCCTCCTCCTCCTCCTTCCCTCATTCCCTTTCCTCCTGCTCCCCTCCCATTTAGCGAAAAAATTCCCCACTAAATGTAGCGGAAAACATTTTTGCTAAATTTAGAGGGGAAATCTTTCTGCTAAATTTAGCGGGAAACCTTTTCCGCTAAATTTAGCGGGGAACTTTTTACTTAATTTAACGGGGAATTTTCCCGCAATATCTAGCGGGGATTTTTCTCTTTTTTTGCTAAATATAGCGGGGAAATTTTCCCCCTAAATTTAGCGGGGGATTTTTTTTGCTAAATATAGCGGGTAAATTTTTCTGCTCAGTTTAGCGGAGAAATTGTTCCGCTAAATTTAGCGGGAAAATTGACCCACTAAATTTAACGGGAAAATGTTTCCGCCAAATCTAGCTGGGAATTTTTTTCGCTATATCTAGCGGGAAATTGTTTCTCCTAAATTTAGGGGAAAAAATATCTCCTCCTACTCCTCCTCCCTTGTGACGTCACTCGTGACCCTTGTGACGTCATTCATGACCCTCGTGGCGTCACATGTGACGTCAATATGGGAAGCTTCCCATAATGCAACGCGCGGTTACGCCGACGCCGCTCAAGCTGTAAACGGGCGCCTAAGAGCTGCGCTCTAAAACAAAAATGTATTAAAAACTATAGCATTGTACACAGTTGACAGAAACCTTTTTAAGCGTGTCACGGAATTTGGCTTTGTCAGCTTCATAGACAATGTGCGTGGGCAATGAATTTCAGTCTTCAATGGCAAGAGAAATGTGGGAAGTTTTGAAATTGGTCAGCTCTGGAGAAGGACGGCTGAATATTGAGTATGATCAAGGAGCTTGGCAAT